ATCTAGAAAAAGGATGTACAATTCAACAACTTATATGTTGTATAATTATAAATAAAGATGCATAAGAAAACATTTTACTGCAATTTCCGTAACAATACACGTGTGTTTGTAACAATGTGTGTAACAATGTGTGTAAAAATATATTTGATTATAGTACAAGCGAAAAAGGTTAATTAGTTTTTGAACACTAGCAATTATAATTTCACATGTATGTATTTTGATATAAAATTAAAAAAGAAAGAGACTTGAGACTGAACACTCAAAATATGTATTGTACCACAACTTTGTACACGTTAACTTTGATCATGTAAAAACTATTTAAAAATTTTTTTGTAAACAATGTCATGCGTCTCAATAACGAATAGATCCGAACGAATAAATGAATGCAAACATTATGATCTTAAAATAGAATTTATGTCATTATCATGAAATAAAAAAATCTTCGTCATTAATTTTTTACATTAATTTTGCTTACTGTTGAAAAACTTGCTTGAACGTACAAAATAACAATGTTATACGCATTAATTGAATGCATAATACATTTCAACATAAGAACTAGCATCAATTTTTACTTTTATGTCATGCAACTTTATGTATCTAGAAATTTACATTAACATAACATAAAACTCATTGAAATTTTCAATAAAAAAGGTAAGAAAGTAAAAGAATTACTTATATCTGTAATTAACACATAATTATATGTATATACATATAAATTAATTGTTAATTAATTGTTTATTATCGTACGGATATAACTAATTTAATCCGGAAAGTATTTATCCAAAAAGCGGACGGATGATCCATAATCAAGATCTGAATTTTAAGAATTATCTTTCATCTCTATGTTATCTCAACTTTACTCAAATCAAACTCAAATCAGAAATTTACTCATAAACGTTGAAGTTCGTAAAAATTTTCTAAATTGAATCGAAATAATAATATCTTATATTCTTACGTAATTTATCATATCTGCTATTTACTTTTTGCAATCATTCCATTGTTCGAATGCAGACAAAATTTTATCTTTTCCCGCACGAGATAAATTCACGTAATGTGTTAAGAGGTACATTTGAAACTGATTCACAATAATGAAAACAGAATATGAAAGTAAAGGAAAATGTCCTTTCAGAGAGAAACAATAAGGTATTAGCTTTATAATGTAGAAAGGACACTGCTAAAACGCATACAATAAATGGAGGAACTTATACCTTAGCGTAATTACGGTACTATTACGGAACAGAAGATAGATAGAATTGATAAGTAAGTTTTCGCAATTTCTCGAATGTCAAACATTTGCATTGAATCGCTAATAGAGTTCGCAATCTTAATATTCCGAAAAATGAACGACAAGGAAGACGTTTGTCAAAGCCGCTATTATTTTGTTCTTAGATTATATCTGACTATTTCAGGATTATGGCCATATTATAATCTTCGCGACAGATGTATTTGCTTCGTGCTGTTGTTTATATTGTGCTCTAGTATTGCGATACCTCAGGTATATCAAAAATTATCAAAAAAAAAATAGAACTTATTGATCGTATATACATTTTTTCTTGAGTGATCAGAAATATACCAAATGCAATTATCTAATGAATTTAATTATCTAATTAATCAACTATGCACACACGCATGTTAAATTTCATTAAATATTTAAAATATATACGAATAACTTTAATCAGAAAGAGAATAGATACATAAAATACATTTTGATGTACTCAAATGTAATTGTAAATTATTGATAAT